TTTTTTATTACATATTTTGTGTCCTTTTTTCACAGGTTATTTTGTCCACAAATATTGCTGAGACAAGCATTACCATAAATGATGTTGTCTATGTCATTGATTCCTGCAAGTAAGTTCCCAGGGAACCGGTTTGCCTAGGAAAAAACATCTCTTTGAATGTTGTTGTCTTAACTAGAAACACTTCACCTTGTGCCAGTTGACACAATCAAGCACCTTATTTTTAGCCTTCAAAATTATTAGATCCCTGAGTTAATGAATAATTTGATTAATCCTATTAGTTTTAATCATCACAGATCTATTATGATAGAAAATAACTTATGACTACTCCCACTTCTATTTGCTAGCATTCTCATTCCCCATCAGTGTTTCTGTTGACCACTGCCATAGACTACCATGAAGCTTGATATCTCTCTCTCTCTCACACACACACACACACACACACACACTCCACCCCCCAGTGCCATTCTCCATATTAAAGGAATTTCTATTTGGTTTAAGATTAGTCTGGGGGATATAAAAGGCATTGAATAACAAATTAATAGTGATTGAGTCTGGGGGATATAAAAGGCATTGAATAACAAATTAATAGTGATTGATGATGCATAGAGACGGCAGTAAATGTGGTTGTGTGTGGCCAGTTTGTGCTCCGTGTCTCTTCTCTATATTCATTTAGTCTATTGGGAACTAAATAAAAATGTGCCAATGCCTACTTTAGAGAATGGCGAATCAGATTGAGCTCTTTGCCAATTCCAAAGCTATCAGCTCCATGTAAAAATTGTAAGATTCTAATATTGCTTAGTGATAAAACTATGTGATAAGACTATGCAGCCACATCGTGGTGTAATATGTGATGTCAGAATTGCCACACATTCTAATATTAGTCCGTAAGAGTAGCAGTGGCTTAAATAATTAGGGCATAATTTCATATATGCCCCTCCCTGTTGCCAGTGCTTTATACTTGTTCCCCCTCTGAAGTAGGTAGAAATCATTTTCAGATAAGGAAGTGGTATATGACATTTGTACATTGCTTGTAATAGAATGACAACTAGGAAAGTATAGGATCAAGTTTCTAGATCTTGTTCACAGACATAGGTAGGCATGGCACCTGTTACTTGGGGAAAATGTAATTGTTATTACTGGTAGTTTATATTAGCCTTAGAGTTAAAAATCTCTTTCGTATTTAGGCAGAAAGTGAAACTGTTTACTGCTCACAACAACATGACCAACTATGCTACAGTGTGGGCTTCCAAGACAAACCTTGAGCAGCGGAAAGGGCGAGCAGGTCGTGTAAGGCCTGGATTCTGCTTTCACCTCTGCAGCCGAGCTCGATTTGAGAAGTAAGAATTTTTGTTTTTTTCCTCTAAGCTGACTTTCGGTTGCTAAGAATATTTATAGCACAAGGTAAAAACCAATTTAACCGTTGTCCATGTGCAGTTCCATGACATTGATTTCAGTCTCAATGTGAATGCGTTTATTTTAACTCCCTTCTAACTTGTTCTTCCTCCCTAAGAACCCTAAGTGCCCCCTAAGAGTTCCATCAAATCATTTGTCTTATCATTTTACC